TATGAAAAGAATACTTGTTTATAGTCTGAGAGCTGAAATGAGAAGGCAGAGCGTCACCCTGTTCATCCTCAGCTGGGGGTGTGCATGTTGTGCAATTCAAATTTTTTGCCACTCTGCACATGTCTACAACTGACCACAAGAGTTCTACAAGTATTGTTGCAAATAAATTTTAGCCAGTAAGCTTATCTGCAAATACAGGATCTGAGAATCGTGAGGATCAACTATATATAACACTACTTGAAACACTTGTGCTCCCAACATAATGGGGTACTCCTCTTTTTAAAAATATAATATACAAAAACATCAATCTATGAAACAAATAATCAGAGGGTTACTGACCATCTTACAAGATACAGAGGTTCCTTTAAGTACTGAACCCATGGTATATTTAATGTAACAATTCAGCAATTCTATTATGTACAACCTTTCAGGATTTCATTGTGATTTTTAAAGGCTCAAGCCTATATATTTAAGGTACAATCTATCTGTCAATTTAGAAGTATATAATTTATAAAGACAAAGTTATGCTTTAAGAAAACAATTACATTTGGTGAATCACATTCACTCCTTTTTTTCCCCTTCTAGAATGCATTATTTTAAAAATAAAAAATAACATTTGTAAAAGCTAAACAAGTTGAGGAGTTATATTATTATTCATTAAACTTTTTATTTTAGTGCTAAGCTAATGGTGAAATTTTTTATAAAAATGCCAATGGATATTACAAATGCTTAAAGAAAAACTTAACAAGGTAAAATATATATTAATATCTCTTCACTGACTAGCTTGCATATAGCTGCTTCATCAAAGATGATTACTTCAATCGAAAAGACAAACAATAACAAGTATTGGTGAGAATGTGGAAAAATTGGAACCCTCATACATTGCTAGTAGGATGTTAAAATAGTACAGCACTTTGGAAAACAGTTTGGCAGCTCCTTAAAATAAGTATAGTGTTAGCACATGACCCAGCAATTCCACTCTAATGAATATATTCAAGAGAAATGAAAAATATAAATCCTCACAAAAATCTATACATCAACATTCACAGCAGCATTACTCAAAGTAGTCAAAAAATAGAAACAACCCAAATGTCTATCAACTGATGAATGAATAAACAAAATGTGGTATAGCTATACAACGGAACATTAAATATATATATTATGTACATATAAAGGAATGAAGTACTGATACATGCTAAAACATGGATGAACTCTGAAAACATGGTGCTAAGTGTGAAAGAAGCCAGACACAAGAAGCCACATATTATATGCTCCCACTGATATGTAATACCCAGAATAGGCAGATCCATAGAAACAGAAAGTAGATTTGTGGAACGGAGAATCACTGCTAATGGGTACAGGGTTTCTTTTTGCGGCAATGACAAGGTTCTGAAGTTAGATAATGGTGATTGTTGCACAACTCTAAATATACACACATATGGTATGTGAATTATATTTCAATAAAGCTGTTATTTTCCCTATGTAACTTCATTGCCATTTTCCTTATGTAACTTCTCATTTAATAGCAAAAGGTACATAATAAAAAATAAGTTTTCGGGATTTCCCCGGTGGTGCAGTGGTTAAGAATCCGCCTGCCAATGCAGGGGACACGGGTTTGAGCTCTGGTCTGGGAAGATCCCACATGCCGTGGAGCAACTAAGTCCGTGTGCCACAACTACTGAGCCTGCACTCTAGAGCCCATGAGCCACAACTACTGAATCCGCGTGCCACAACTACTGAAGCCCGTGCGCCTGGAACCCATGCTCCACAACAAGAGAAGCCACCGCAAGGAGAAGACTGCTGATAGCAACGAAGAGTACCCCACTCACCGCAACTAGAGAAAGCCCGTGCGCAGCAATGCAGACCCAACGCAGCCAAAAATAAATAAATAACTAAGATAATTAATTTAAAAAATAATAAGTTTTCCAGAGATACCTTTAATGCCAGACTTAGTTTCCTTTTCATACTTCAATTAGAAATCTGGATTTAAATGCTGCTATCCCAAATCTGGGAATGTGAGTACTGAAAAGGCCCTTAAAGATCATCTAATTTAAGCCCTTCAATTTACAGACGAGGGAAAAAAAGTCTCAGGATACTAAATGTCTTGCACTAGACCACACAGCGCCCGTATCTTGACCCTCAGAACTCTAAATGTATACATAAATATTCTGTTCAGCACTATCTAGACTGACACATTAAGCTACGCTACAGGAATAAATCCTGAAAGGAGTGGCCTAACCTAAGATTTATTTTTTGCTCACATAAAGTTCAAGGCAGCCCTTCAACTTGTAGGGACATCATTGGAACTTTTGTTTTCCACAGTCACCTTAGCACAACAAACTCATATCAACTCTTTACTGCTTCCCACTGTAAGTGACACACATCACTTCCCATCACAGCCCTTTGGCCAGAATTAGTCACTTGTGCTAATGTAGCCACAAGGTAAACTGGGAAATGTAGGGGGACACATGGAATACTGGGTAAGCAATACAGTCGGCCACAGCTGCCCATCCAGCCCAGCTGTGGGTTGCACAGTTTTTACAAGATGGCGAAAGCAATTCTGATTCCACCCAGGAGAGGCTGGTTTGCAATGTGGAGTCCCTACAGTTGCTTTCCAGAGGCCAGGTGATGCTCACATAGGCTGCTCCAGGACATGGTTCTTTGCTGTGTTTATGTATGCAGGGTGGGCGAGTGGAAGGAGGTAGAGAAGGAAAGGTCACAGAGTCCTTTGAGAAACTGATGACAAAACACTCCATAGTCTTAACACTATCCAAAACACCAAAGTTTTCATTCAGTTTTGGATTTAGAGCCCCAGGTGAAGAACCACCTGCCATCCACACTCGCCATGTTTCCCTTCCCTACAGAGGAACGCTACACAGAGCTGAAGGCAGCAGGTGACTTCATCCAAACTGAGCCTCTCTTCCTGCACTTAGTGTTGGTCCAGCAATAACCAAATAGGGGAGGCCAAAGGCTCAAGCTAACGCAGTCAGGGGGCACCAAAGAGAAATATATATTGGATCCTCTGTGGGGGTTTTTTGCTTTATTTTTTAGCTTAATTTTTTGTTTATTTGTGTTTTGTTTGTTTGTTTTTTGGCTGCGCCATGTTACTTGTGGGATCTTAGTTCCCCGACCAGGGATTGAACCCATGCCCCCTGAAGTGGCAGCACACAGTCCTAACCACTGGACTCCCAGGGAATTCCCATATTGAACCCTTTGTATCCATATCACTTATTACCCGTGCACCTGTATCCTCAAGGTGTGGTCCTCAGGCCGTGAGCATCAGAATTGAATTGCTAAACACCAAAGGTGCACCTGTATTAGGATAAGTCTGTCTATAGGCCATATCAGTGTACAGGGCATGGTTATAATGCCCACCGAACATGTTATTAAGAGTGGAAAATTTTTAAGCAATTTTTTATGAGATGCCATATTAACATTAACCTTGTTAAGACTAGGATGAAAAGAAAGAAGCCAACCAAAGCTTAAGGACTTCCTTCCCTGACATTAGAATCAGAACATCCCTTTAATGGAATGACTATTAAAATGCTGATTCCTGGAATACAATCCAAATCTAACGAATCAATCTTTGGAGGCAGGAGCAGAGAATATGCATTTTTTACAAGATCCTCAGGTGAGTCTAGATGCATGTTATAATTAGAGAGTCAAACTGGTCAGCTAAAAACCTGCTGAAAGCCACAAGGATGACGACACCTGAGCATGGACATCTAAAGTTGCTGACTATATAAACACCACTTAAGGCAACTCAGGTATTTCACCAATATTCCTATTCATCAAGAATCCAGAAAGGGACTTCCACCTCCATGTGATAAATGACTCTACTTCTTAGAACCAAGGGGCTGGTTGGAAAATTCAATGAAAACTTCTGTTTGTATCATAATTGCTTCTAACAAGACCACTCCGGTCCAACAGTCAAGCCTGGGGTTCTTCTCCAGGCAGAAAGAACAAACAAGCCCCTGAAGAAAACAAAAATTGGTTTTTACTTATTCTTAATGGATCCGGTGTTCCTGTGCTGACCTTTGCTGTAATCAAAACTAGATAGTGTTGAATTCAAGGAAATATCATGGAATTGAAATACCATTCAAGTTCTATCATTTTCAAATAGGCTTTTGCCAAGAAACAATATGCAAAGAAGGTGGTGACATCCATCTAAGGAGTCATCTTCATGGCAGTGATCATAATATCCCCTGACAAAATACTGATGGAAGCTCGGTGATGGGTACACATGAGATTGATCATATTATCTGCTCTACTGTTGTATATGATCAAACAGTTCTGTAATGAAAAGTTTAAAATGTACACAAACATGTATATAAGCACGTGGATATATCTCTTTTACTTTTTTTAATAAAATTATTCTCAATACTTGTCTTATTGTTTTTTGAAAGCTTTTCCTCCATATTTATCTCCCTGAAGGGCTAAAATATGTTCAATCCATTTAAGGACATTTCTGCTGTGTATTTTCTTAAAAAGAATTTTCACTGGGAAAATATTCACCATTTATGAATCCACTATTCATGCTACATGGAAATAAATATGCATTGTGAAAGATCTCAGAAGTCAGTTGTAGCCAAGACTTGTAAGATTTAAGTATGGTATTCATAAGTTTTAACGCTGCCTACGATTCTCAAACACATGGCAGAAAAGGACATTTTAGTAGATATCACATCTTTTCAACATTACAATAATTTGCAAAAATTCTCAATAGATTAAAATTGAACTCAGACCTGATTACATCATTTAAAGCATTCCTTTCTGCATCAAAGTCAACAGGAATTTGTATTTCAAACAATAACAAAGAACATGCTTGAAACTAGACAAAAGTTAAGTATAAAAGGGTTTTCTTATACCCATAACTGATAAAATTTTGAAAAAGTGGTCATCCTGAGAAAATTTGAAGAGCTTCCCTTTAGAGATGCAGTGGAAAAGAAAGTGGCCCTGGTGGCTAACTAACTGGTTGAGATCCTGGCTCTGCCACTTACCAGCTATGTGACTTGGGCAAGTTCTTTAACCTCTGTGTGCCTCAGTTTCATCGTCTGTAAAATAGGGATAATAACAGTAACTACTGTTATTGAGTTAAATGAGTTTATACATACAAAGCATGTAGAATAATGTCTGGCACATATTAAGCACTACTTGTTTGATGATCTTATTATTATTATCATTCCAGTAAGTGAAAGTAACCAGGCCTTATTATCTTGCTTGTCTGGAAAAAAGTTACTGACAAACAAGAAAGGTCTTGTAAAGTCACCCAATCCCTAAACTGAGTAGAAATCTACGTATTCTAGGGTGGGTGGCATCACATGTTTCAGTGATGTGATAGTTATTATTTGTGAACACAGAGAACAATTTTAAATCCATTTCAGTCATTAAGCCAATAGAGAAAAAGAAGTGAAAAGCAGTCCTGTTGTCAGAAATGGTATGGCACAAAGCAGCTTCATTTCAAGATGACAGGCTAAATAAACAGGCACAGATCCTTCCCTCCCCACCTTCCTCAAATTCCAAAGACAACAAAAAGATATTCACAAGGGAATCACAACATGACGGTAATTAAAATGGCCGAGAGATATAGTCGATTTGAATGCTGGCCACTTTCTAGAAGACAGAAAGGAAGTGGAGGAAATTGTATGACAAGATAGACCAGAGCAGAGCTAGACACTTCTCAGAACATGTAAAGCCAAAGGCGGGCAGAGAAGCAGAGCCCTTTTCCTGGAGGAGCTGGATAAATGCCCAGCTTTGAGTCAGCAGGTACAGTCAGGAGTGGGAAATAGGTTCATCTACCTGATCTCCTCCATACTTCTCACCCCTGGTCACTGAATCAGCCAACTCCTATTAAGGCAAGAGGACTGTTGGAAAAACAGGAACCTCTTGTCAATAACCTATATAATCAACCTGGTTCTTCATCGATAAGCATCACCAGATAGTGAAAGAGGAGGACATAAAGGAAAACTAAGATGAAAAGCAGATCAGACTCCGGGAGAAACATATATTTTAGGTCCCAGAAAAACTGGTATCTAAAGAAATTCTAACTGGTATCCTCAGAGAGAGATGAGAAGATAATGCAACCTTAAAACAAAAGCAAGCGAAACATAAATGAAGCAGAAATCAAGGAAGAACTCTTGGAAATAAGAAAGATGATTGCCAAGATGAAAAACAAGGGAATAAATAAAATAGGAGTGGAGTAGCATGTAGGGGATACACACACACACACCCCCCACACTTGCTTATATTTTTTAAAATAAGCAATGGAAGAATAAACCAAAAACCAATAAAAATGTTTACCTATGAGGTACAGAGAAGAACAAAGGCAAGGAAGGAAGCCATACTTCTCTCAGTATAACTGGCTTTTTATATAGTTTTATCTTTAGAACCATGTAAATATATTATATAATTATAAAACAAAAGTAAATAAAAAATAAAACAATCCTAAAAATAAAAAAGACAAGTGAACCTAAACTATTTATCAAATTGGTGGCATAACCACACAGAGAAGGATTTTTCAAGTTAAAACAGCGTCTTGACTGTACCTCTCTGGTGTTACTGTCAATAAAGGAGAAGAGACACAAATATAAAGTCAAAGAAATAAAAATCCTGTAATCCTTCTATTGAATTTGAATCATGAGTTATCCTTTTCTTTCTAAAAAGTACACATTTACTTTACTGAAAAGATCTAAATTCACATCCCATTTGCAATTAATGCCCTTAATACTATTTCCTCCCACCAAATAGGATGAGAATTCCTTATAGAAATGGCTGATTCTAGATATGGGGTCAAAAACAAAAAGATAAGCCCAGGAATTGTTATCAGGCCAGAAATAAGGGAACCCATCTAATACTACCCAGCCCATGTCATAGGACCCAGGGTAAACCTGAAGAATAAGTTCTTATATTAATGGCCAATAATGGTAGAATTTCAGAATCAAAAGAATAACTCTTCTGGAGCAAAATTCATTAAGTATATAAAAATTAATGAGTTCGGACTTGGCAATGATTTCTTGCATATGATACCAAAAGCAAAGGCAATAAAAGAAAAAACAGACAAATTTTACTTCATCAAAATTAAAACTTCTGTACATCAAAGGACACAACTGATAGAGTGAAAAGACAACCAAAGAATGGGAGAAAATATCTGTAAGCCATATATCTGAAAAGGAATTAATATCCAGAATATATAAAGAACTCATATAACTCAAAAACATATAACCAAACAATCCAATTATCAAATGGGCAAAGGACTTGAATAGACATTTGTCCAAAGAAATAGACTAATGGCCAACAAACACATGAAAGAATGCTCAACATCACCAACCATTAGGGAAATGCAAAGCAAAACCACAATGAGATACCACTTCATATGCATATATGACTATTATAAAAAGAAAAAACCAACACACAGAAAACAACATGTTGGCAAGGATGTGGAGAAACTGAAACCCTGTTCATTGCTGGTGGAAATGTAAAATGGTATGGTCACTATGGAAAACAGCATGGCAGTTCCTCAAAAAATTAAACATATAGTTAATTACCATATGATCCAGCAATTCCACTCCTGGGTATATACACAAAAGAACTGAAAGCAGGGACTCAAACAGATATTTGTACACCTATGTTCATAGCAGCATTATTCATAATACCAAGAAGGCTGAAACAAGCCAAATATCCAACAATGGATGAATGGATAAACAAAATGTGGTATAACCACAAAATGGAATATTATCCAGCCTTAAAAGGACAGAAATTCTGATATATGCTTCAATATAGATGAAACTATATTTATCCATGTGGCAAGTGACCTCTCTACTTGTCAGGCCATAGATCTGCAGAAACCTGGCAGTGGTTGCAATATCTGTGGCCTTAAGATAGGTGCTGTGGGGAAGAAGGTGGAGACCATGGTCTCTACTTCCAAAGTCACAGCTAAATAACAGGATCATCAAGCACCCTGTCTCTTAAGCTCAGGCCTGATATGGGTGAAGAGTGCTGGTTATTTTTCTGGGGAGCCTGTCCTTTATCTTTTACCTTCTGTTTACAGCATCTTTCAACACACACACACACACACACACACACACACACACGCTTTTCTCTCATTTCTCTAGTCAAATATGTTCATCTGTTCTTTCACAGTGTCAGGTTTTACAAGTTAATCTACCTTGCCCAAACTGATGATCAAATACAGTTGAACCCTTTGAAGAAGATATACAAATGGACAATAAGCACATGAAAAGATGCTCAACATCATTAGCTATCAGGGAAATGCAAATCAAAGCCATGAGATACCACTTCACAACTACTAGGATGACTATAATAAAAAGACAGACAATAGGGCTTCCCTGGTGGCACAGTGGTTGGGAGTCCACCTGCCAATGCAGGGGACATGGGTTTATGCCCCGGTCCGGGAAGATCCCACATGCCGCAGAGCTGCTGGGCCTGTGAGCCACGGCCGCTGAGCATGCGCATCCGGAGCCTGTGTTCCGCAACGGGAGAGGCCACAGCAGTGAGAGGCCCGCGTACCGAAAAAAAAAAAAAAGACAGACAATAACAAATGTTGGCAAGAATGTGGAGAAATTAGAATCTGTGGGAATGTAAAAGGGTGCAAATACTTTGGAAAACAGTCTGGCAGTACCTCAAAAGGTTAAATGTAGGGCTTCCCTGGTGGCACAGTGGTTAAAAATCTGCCTGCCCACGCAGGGGACACGGGTTCGAGCCCTGGTCCGGGAAGATCCCACATGCCGCAGAGCACTAAGCCCCTGCACCACAACTACTGAGCCTGCGCTCTAGAGCCCGCGAGCCACAACTACTGAAGCCCGCACGCCTAGAGCCCATGCTCCACAGCAAGAGTAGCTACCACTCTCCACAACTAGAGAAAGCCCGTGCGCAGCAACAAAGACCCAACGCAGTCAAAAATAAAAAAATAAAATTAATTTTTAAAAAGGTTAAATGTAGAATTATCATATGACCAAACGATTCCACAACTATGTATATATCCAAGAAAAATAAAAGACATGTCTACACAAAAACCTGTACATGAAAGTCCAGAGCAATACTATTCATAATAGTAAAAAAGTGGAGGGCTTCCCTGGTGGCGCAGTGGTTGAGAGTCTGCCTGCCGATGCAGGGGACACGGGTTCGTGCCCCGGTCCAGGAAGATCCCACATGCCGAGGAGCGGCTAGGCCCGTGAGCCATGGCCGCTGAGCCTGCGCGTCCGGAGTCTGTGCTCCGCAACGGGAGAGGCCACAACAGTGAGAGGCCCGCGTACCGCAAAAAAAAAAAAAAAAAAAAAAGTGGAAACAACCCAAACGTCTAACAACTTAGTGGTATAGCCATACAATGGAATAATATTCTTCAATTATAAATGGAATGAAGTACGGGAATTCCCTGGTGGTCCAGTGGTTAGAAGTCGGCACTTTCACTGCCAGGGCCTGGATTCAATACCTGGTTGGGTAACTAAGATCCTACAAGCTGTGCTGCAGGGCCAAAACAATGGATGAAGTACTGATACACACAACAACACGGATGAGCCTTGAAAACAACATTATGCCAAATGAAAGAAGCCAGACACAGGGCTTCCCTGGTGGTGCAGTGGCTGAGAGTCCGCCTGCCGATGCAGGGGACACGGGTTCATGCCCTGGTCCGGGAAGATCCCACGTGCCGCGGATCGGCTAGGCCCATGAGCCATGGCCGCTGAGCCTGCGCGTCCGGAGCCCTGTGCTCCGCAACGGGAGAGGCCACAACAGTGAGAGGCCCGCATACCGCAAAAAAAAAAAAAGAAGCCAGACACAAAGTTCACGTATTGTATGATCCCATTAACATGCAATGTCCAGAATAGGCAAATCCACTGAAACAGAAAAATTAATGGTTGCCTATGGCTGGGGCAAATGGGAAGAATGAGGAATGACTGCTAATGGGTACAGGGTTTCTTTTTGGAGTGATGAAAATGTTCTGAAATTCTGGTGGTAGTTACATAACTCTATGAATACATTAAAAATCACTGAATTATACACTTTAAATAGGTGAACTGTATGGTGTGTGACTTACATTTTAATAAAGCTGTTATTTAAAAAATAAAGGTGAACCACTCCATAAACAACTTCTTCAGAGGAAAAAAATACAGAA